GAAAAATGAGTCAAATACTATTTCAAAACTATTTTCATTATCATTGTAGAATCCATAGATATAGGTTAATTTCCCACGTACGTGTACATGGAAACATGCTTTAGATCAAAAAAAAAAAAAAAAATTCAGGAGAACCACACAAATACAAGACTTCTCGAATGAAAAGCAATGGCTAGCACAGAAGACAAATATTGTGGAACAATACATATTCTACGCATGAGTAATCCTAAACATCCGAAAATTTGTCCACGTCAGACTCGAGAAGTAGGCTCCACTTATAATGCCCATCAAATGAGACTCACTCATTGTGTCTGATGAGGATAAATACTCACGGGATATATTTAGATTTTTCTTTACACATACCTTGATAAATTTTTTTTAATGCAATATACATATCTCTTTAATTAACCATTAAAACTAATTTGGTCTTCTTTTGGAAAGTTCAGTGGCAAAAGGCAATAAGGCATACATATTTGAGGAGGACATTCGCTAAGGTTGCTCTGTCTTCGTCCATTTTAATTTCATTTTTCCAATTTTTGTCATACGATGACCGCACATGTTTACTTTGACTGAATGTTAGTGGCAAAATATGCTGCTTCTACGAAAGGTATCAAATACAGAACCAATAAAGAAGAGTAAACAAGTCACAACATTTTTGTGTGACTAAATTTTAGTCACAAGGTGCATTTAGTTACAAATTTGTGTTGTAATTACTAAATTTTTTGCTACAAATATTTAGTTACAAAAACTTTTTGGTGTAACTAAAACTTTTTCCCATAATTAAAAGTCCTGTAGTTAAGAGTTTTAGTCACGTTAAAATTGACACTGAATATATGTAAGTCACAATAAAGTTATTATGACTAAAAGATTATAAGAAATTATTGTGACTGAAGTTTATTTTTTTTATTTTTTATTTTTTGTAGTTAAAGGATATCATTCTCACTTTAACTAGTATAAAAACACTAACTCCAAAAAATTAACTAGGTTGTTAATTAAATGGTTTTTGTACCATTATATGTATATATGTTAGTGTATAAGGTAGCCTATATCATGTACTGGTGTATATATAATATAGATACATGTTAGGAAAATAAAAACTGAAAAGGGACTTTGATCAAGTTGGGCAATATGGATAAACAAGGGACCGTGAAATTAGAAGTTTGCTTCATTTCAAATTGACAATTTTTGTGTGATTAGTACCGTGAGAAAATAACAGAGGGGAGTAGTACTGTCCCACTGGTCCTGTGTTCACATGGACCTACATTCCAAACTAGCAATAATTGTTTGTTGGTGCGTGGTGATTATTACGTTGCAAATAGGAATATAATCTTCTCTATCAACGGGTCTTTTTCAAAGAGCGAGGTCCCCACACACAAACACACACCACTTTTAAAGAATCCAAAATTTCTACATTTCAATAATTCATCAAACCAAATTTTAGTCCATCGGCTGGGTATTCTTGTTTTAACTACGTGAAATTGATGTGACGGTTGTAATAAATAAGATAATTGACTAATAAAATATATAACAATTAATGAAAATATATTTTTATCACTTCACATCGTAAAATTTTTATATTTAATGGGCAACTATCGATATACGTAGTAGAGCATATTATATATTACCCACCGATATATTACATCCGTAGTGGGCAACTATCGATATACATACGTAGTAGAGCATATTATATATTACCCACCGATATATTACATCCGTATGTGAGAAATTATTAATCATTACCATTGTTGTAACCGTGAAGTTAATATGATAATATAGAGTATACAGCCAACCTAGTGTTGGGAGAAAAAATGGAAGGGAAATTCGAACTCTAGACTTCACATTAAAGACCACGGTTATAGATTTACTGTTAGATTATAATTCACAGTTAGCTAGCTATTTTAATGCGAGGTGATTATTATTATTTCTGGTTAGATAAATATTTGCATGTGTATATACCAATGTTTGTAAAATCATTATTAATGTGTGAACTTTCACTAGTACACCGTAGCAATAGGGATATATATATATATATATATAGGTACTAATTAGTTTGGTCTCCATATAATAATAATGGCATTTGTCTGGATCTGCAGATCTGTTAGAATAAATACTACTATTTAGTTCAGAGTAAAAAAAATAAAAAATACTACTATTTTTTTCTTTCTTTCTTTCTTTCTTTTTCCCCTTTTTCTAGGTGGGGCTTCACAAATTTGTGCGCTTCTGAAGAGGCGACAGAGCACAGGCCAGAAACATATTCATGACGTGAAATGCATGCAAATGGTGGTACAAAGTCGATCCACATAGATCAGAGATGCTATATAAATCAAAACAAATTTTTATCTCCAACATTTGAAAAGGTTGTCGATATCTTACGTCTTTTGCTTACAAGTGCTTTTTTTTTTTTCCTTTCTTTTTTATAATGGGGGGGGGGGGGGGGGGTTTTAATAATTGTGGGGTCGGGGGGTGGATTTTACATAATGTCGAGTACTTAATTTTTATTGTTATTAATGTTATGTGTCTAAGAATGTAGATTAATTATTAGACAAAATACTAAAGATCTCCTACTCCTAGCTAGCTTTCGTTAGAGGAGTCAAGCAGCATGGAGATATGCATGATGCATCTAAAGTCATAGGTATGCACTTGGGATTTAAAAAGCAATCATTTTAATTTTCTGTCCTAAGATATGACTAATTATTAATAATTAGGCAGTAGAAAAGAGAAGTGAAAAAATGGTTTGTCTTCAATTCGTTCATTTGGAAAGATAATTACTACACCGACTAATTAGAAATCAACGGCTTTGAATTTAACTTTAACGAGACAAGACTAGAGAACATGATAAAAAGAAAAGATAGGTAGCTTGTCTTTTGATGGATTGAAAATCATGACACTTTAAGAACAATGCCAAAGGCAACTATATTATAAAGATATGTGGAGAAGAAAATTTTGTCTTGCGTGGAAGTAGTTTTTGAAGTTTTTGTGGTGAGCAGTATTTTGTTTGGAAGCTACGTATCAATATTTTTATTTTTAATGATCAATATTTTATTTTTTAATGTATGGATACGTACTAGCAGGGTATATATATTTTATACATATATACGCATACATAAAAAGAGAAAGACAGAGAGATTCTACAAAGGAATGATTTGTTTCTCAATCATTTCCACATTTTTCTCAATCATGTAAGTTTGGGCCGCCGGTCTGGTCCGGCCGCTCAAAGAGAAATTACAGACCGGCCTAGCCCAATCTTAAAAGAAAGAAAGTCGGTTCAACCTGGTCTTAAGCCCAAAAAGTTTAGGGCCTGCTCGGATTTTTGTAAGGTATTTTAAAAAAAAAAAACTTTAAAAATATGATGTTTGGGTAGGGGTGTTCGGCCGGTTTTGGTCAGTCCGGTGAATTGAACCGTAGAAAATATTATTCAATCAGTTAATTGACGGTTGATTTTCGGTTGGTATTCGGTTTTGGTAAACAGAACAGTGACCATCAATTAACCATCAAGTTACCAACTTCTTTAATTGGATCTTTTGACCAGAAAATTATGAAGACATCTATATGAAATTATGTATTAAGAAGCCAGACCACATAAAGAACAAGCTAAAGCTAATAAGCTTGTTCCTTTTTCCTATTTCTACGATCTTTTCCAGTTTTTCCTGATAAGTAGTCAAATTAAGCCTTTTTCTTAAGGAAACTTTGTATTTGACTAGAATTTCATCTTTATAAATGTTTGGTCAATTTACAAAGGGCTCAATAGAGAGCTGTAAATACAAAATACACTAAAACAAAGTTGGGTATCAATCAAATATGCGTTTTCCTAGTTTGCCTAACAAGATTAAATCAAAGTAGAAAAGAAATTGTGTTGGGCTTGCCAGTGCCATCATTTGACAACAGCCATAAAAGGGGAAAATACTTCACCAATAGAGCTTATTCACGATCGTGTATTGTTTTCTCTTAAATGAACATTTTGTTGTTAATGCTTTAAATTTTGTATATACTGCATTGTACTAAAACAAATTCAATAACACCTAATTTAACGAGAACTCTATTTATTGGTATGGATGTCGATAAAACATAAAATTTAAGAATAAACCTTCTTAATTTCCCTTATCGGATAGCTACACTTTTTAATCAGACAAAATAGTTCAAGTAAGAATTCTATCAAAGCAAACACCACATTAGCTCCAGTGAGGACATGCTCTATTGATCAGAAACACCACATAAGTTCGAGTCAGACTGGAGACGTAGCGTAAACAAGAATCTAGCATTAACAAGAATCTAGCATTAAGAACACAAAAGGATTGGGGAACAAGATTAGCACTTTAATGTCCCTCTGGGGTGGGACTTCTATTATTGATATTAATATGAAATTACTATTTTATCCCTAATTTACTTATAAATATAAAATTAAAAATAATAATTACAACTTATATTTTTTTATTTTATTTAATTTTATGCGATAAATATGTATTTTATTTTGTTTATTAAAATTAATAATATTTTAATTTTTAACACTTTATTTTTATTTATATTTATTTTATTCAAATTTTGACAATTAATCATTTTTATATTTTAAATAATTATGCAATTCATATATATATTATTTTTGTAACAATTAAAAGAATTAAGACAATTTAATTATGTTAATTATGATATATTAGTGTACCTAATTTAATTTTTTTAATTAATCATGCTTATTAAACTTTTTCTTAACTTTAAGTCTTAAAATATTTCTAAGAAATTTTAATTATTTCAGTATTTACGATTGCGTCTCAAAAATTTATGAAAACACATTTTATTATCTATTCTTCTAAATATCTTTTGATGTTATCTTTTCTCTTTCTTTATTTTATTTTCTTTCTTTTTCTCTTTCTTTCTCTCGTCACTCTGCCAGCACACACACTCTCTCTCCCTTTCTTTTTAGTTTTTTCTCTCTCTCTTTCTCTTCTCTCGGCACTCTCTCTTTCTCTTTACTCTTCTTTCTTTCTTTCTTTCTTTCGTCTCTTACCAGCTCCCTCTCTCTCCCTCACTAGGCTCTCTCTCTCCTCCTCTCCCTCTCAAATACGTCTCTCTCTCAGGAAACTAAGGGAAAAATTTAGTTCTTTGTATAAATAAACTAGAGAACAAAGGAGTTTTGGAGGATTTTCAAGAGTTTTCATCACCAAATGAAAGATTGAGGTAACATTCTTTGAGAAACCAACTCTTGATTTTCGGATTTTGCTTGGGTAAAACTTGTTCTTGGTTTGATTTGGTGAATTCTTGGTTTAAGCTTAGTTTTGGATGAGTTTTGGTTAAATTCATGAAGGAATTTGGGGGTTTTGGTTCTTTGAGCTTGATTAAGGGTTTGAAAATTGGTTTTAGTGATTTCCCATAGATTTATCTTGAAATCAAACATAGAAATCCAGGTTTTGGTATTGTCTCTCGCTGTTTTGACCAATTTTTCAGGCCTGCGTAACCCCCACGGCCGCCGCACTAGCGGCCGGACCAAGTCTCACCGGCCGACCGGCGGTGCTGCACTTTGCTGCAGCAAAGTTGCAGCAAACCGGGCGACCGGTGCCCACTGATTAAAAAAAGCTTTAACTTAGATTATGAAGTTGTTTATAAACTTTAGTTTTGAGTCGAGGCACACTAATATTGTACATAATTGAGCTTGATTTGTAGTTTCATTGTTTTGATAATGAAACTAGTTGTAAGATCGGACGTTGAAGCTTCGAAGATAGTCAAGACTAGGCCAACGAGAAGATTAGGCCAACGAGAAGGAGCCGTAGAATTAATATCCAAGAGATAAGATATTCTTGACCATATCTTTGATAGCCCTGTTTTAAATGTTACTTAAAATGATGTTTTCTAGACAAAACAGGTTTGATAAAATAAAGCAATTTTGAGGAAATAACATGAATTATGCTATTGAACTTATATTACGTTGAATTGAGGTTTAAAGGTTATACTTTCTTAAAATAAGATATTTTGAGAAATAATAAAATGCATGATGGTCTAGAGATTGGGATATATAAATCATATCTTTAGGGGCAGGTCTTGAAAACCCGTACAGGCCACTCCATAGTGTGGGTGGTGATATCAAGGCTTTGTGATAATGTGTGTAATCTATCATATTCTTATGAATTGCCTATTAGCATATGAAACTTGAATTTATGGATTACTTTCCTTATTATTTATACAGTTTTATGGAGTTATATCCTACTGGGCCTTTCGCTCACTGTTTATATTGTTTTCAATGTTTTAAACTCCTTCCCGCCGACGCTTGAAGCAGTGCCGAGTAGATAGAGACTACCGGTAATGCTAGCTCGAACTCAAGGAGTGAAGAAGTTTTACCCACTTCCATCCTTACTATATGTTTCTAAGGCATGTATAATTCTATGGTTTGTAACCTTAAAACTATGGTTGATGTCAATACCTTATTTCTCCCCGTTTTGTTTATGTATGCTACAATATGAATTTTCTGTGGGGAATCCTGATATGATGCCAAAATTTTGAACCTATTTTATCATGGTGTTGTGAAATCCCCCATCATTTTTCTTGAAATTTATTTACTTTCATGAAATTGATTTTCGTGTTATCAAATGATTAATTATTTTTCTTAATCCAATTTAATTTCTAAATAAGTCTCCACATCACTAACCCTTATTTTGGGGCGTGACAATTTTACTACCCTATTGTTATAGTAAATATTTTAATTAATCATAATTTTAATATAATAAGTACCTAATTTATTTTTTAATTAAAATACAAAATTAATTTAAAAAGTATATTAATATTTTCGCACCAGTTGATTCTGATTCTAGGTGTAAGTAAATGCATTAATGAGATTTATAATGACTCTAATTTTGAATCTTAACACTAAGTAAAGAACTTAATCTGACTCTAATTCCTCACTATAAATTTTACCCACTTCAAGTTCTGTCTATTCGAATTCAAGTCTATTTCGATTATCACATGTAAACATGCCACGAGTACTACATCCATTTTTTTTCTCAAAATCTCTTGTATATAGTCCAATCTTAATTATTGGATACTTAATATAAATTATCTGAGCCTTTGAAACTTTTTCAGTGGTATTTGATAACCTTTTCTTTTCAATGTCAAGATCTTTTTATTCTAGTTATCTAATTGTTGACATTTAGATTGTATGAACATCTCAAATTTGTAGAACGTACGGTAGTTTTCACAGCAAGTAAAAATGATGTAATAGACATTAGAGTGTATAAGTTTCCAAAGGTGAAAGAAAGTGAATTTTTACGGCGGAGAAGACTATTTTACTTTACTGGTGTGAATTATTGTTTTTCATTGTTAAATTAAATTTTTTAACGGTTATATCTGTGCACAAATAAATGACGTCATATACATAAAAAAATCAGTAAATTTAGTGGAATAAACCATTTGCACTTCAGAATCTCGTCGGATAGTGGCCACATACTGGCGAAGCAAGGCCCATTCCAAGCTCAATTAGTGATCCACTTAGATCCAGTGGTCTAAATGGAACAGTGTAGTTTAGGGGCCTATGAGCCCATAAAGGAATAAGGTAATCTTAACAAATACTTTTGAAAGTGTGTATGAGTTAGGATTTATATCATTTATTCTTGATTTATAATTTTTTTAGTTAAATAATTACACTAAAAAAAAAGTATTTATTAAAAATAAGAGGTAAAAGTTCATACTCATGCACTCTTAAGAGTAAATTCTCTATTTTTTCAAAGGAATAAGGTCCTTCCTTAGTCCTTTCTTTGTAAGGAGAAGGAAGACAAATGCCCTTAAAAGTACTAGTAAAAGGATATTAATTTAGAATGGGGGGTAAAAATCCAGATCGGACACTCTTCAAGGTACATTATGCAATTTTCTCTACTTTTTTTGTTTTTTTTGCTTTTCTTTTTCTTTTGTATGGCAGTTCTTTTTTTTTTTTTTGAAAAAATTGTTGAATTTACTATTAGAGTGCATATGTATGAATTTTTACCCCTTAGTTGATATCTTTTTGACTAATATAGTTATTTAACTAAAAAATATATTTTTTTTTAGAAAATTGTTAAACTTACTCTTGGAGTGCATGAGTTTGGATTTTTACTCCTTACTCTTGAGTATTAGAAAATTGTTAAACTTACTCTTGGAGTGCATGAGTTTGGATTTTTACTCCTTACTCTTGAGTAATACCCTTTTGACTAATATAATTATTTAACTAAAAAGGATATTAACTAAGAGTTAAGAGAAAAAATTCGGACCCATGCATTGTAAGGGTTGTTTGTCTTCTTTTCTAGTTTTGGGAGAAAAAACCAAAAATACCACTTCAAAAATGAACAATTATCATTTAATTAATAAAAAGAAAATAAAAGACTATGATGACACTCAATTATTTAAAATGACATAAATAGTAAGTTTGGACAAAATCATAGCAAACAATGTACTTCTCTTTATCTCTCTTTTTTGTTTTTTTTTTTGGAAAGTATGGCGGGTGAAGTAGAGGAATGCAATTGTGAGACATTTAGAGGAAGTATATATCATGGCACATCAATTAAGAATTGAAAAACTTTATATTTTGGTGTTTTACTTTTACTATTTTGATTGGTTACCTCATTTTTTATTGTCTAATAAAATGACAGTTTGCCCCTTCATATATAGGGCCTTTTTTTTTTATGGGTTTAAGTGAAAAGTTTGAGTTGAAAAGTCAATTTAATGAGAGAAAATATTGTAAAAAAAAAGATTGAATTTGAGCTTTTATTTGAGAAAACACTTAAACAAAAAGATTTAGTTGTAATTCGAATTACAAAAAGAACAAGACCATAATTGTTTATCCTCAATTAGAGTCGTTTTTCTCTCACTCTCCCTTCGAATCTCTCCCTTTTGTTTTCTCTTGTTCTCCCTCTCTCTCTAATCTCCAATTGAAATTCAAATTTCGAATTGAATCTTGTGATTCTGCAATCATTTTCGTGTTATGCTTGTTTTGATTTCTTCTATTTATTAACTGATTTTGTGAATCTTACTTAGGGTTTCTCGTTCGATCATGTTCTTCACATTTTTAAGGTTTGAATTTAGAGTTTATGTTTTTTTTCTTTTTTTTTTTGCTGTGATAGTTAAGGGCTCGTTTAGTTCGTGATTCGAGTTGAGATATGACTTTATGTGAGAGTTTTTTACTGTAGCAAAAAATTAGATGTGACTATTTCTGATAGATTTTCACTGTAGCAAAATTCAAATTCTAAACTCGAATCGGTGAAATAAACGGGACTTAAATCTCCTGTGAAGAAAAGGGAACTGAAGGTCATCAGGAGGGAGAAGTCAATTCCATCCTATATTAATGTCATTTTGGAATTTAACATACGTTGGGGCTGGTTACGTGAAAATAAATCAATCTCCAATTCAAGACTCCTAGCTAGTGCTTACTTTGACTTGGTACAACGACAAATTGTCATCAAAATCAAGAATCAAATTTGATGGGAAGTCCTGTTGATCATGAACCAATCAATTTCAATAGGAAGTCGTCTATATACATACATATATATATATATATATATATGTAAGTATGTATATATTTGAATATCATGATCAATTCCTGATTTTGATTCTCCCAATCAATCTGACCCGAAAAACATGCATATAATAGAGAAGTCTTCACACGTTTTCCAATTTTGTGAACCCAAATAAGAAAGGGCTTCGAAGCTTCCCAATCTTATTCACTACAATGCGAATTGTCCAAAAGAGCCCCACAACTGAAATTTCACCCTTACACCGTCACGGACATTTACGTCAAATAACAAACAATTAGAGAGGTGGTAGTTATAATCCGCGTCAGCGTTCTCTTAGGACTACGTTTGAATCCACGATCGTTTTATAAACACCAACTTCTTCTTCACCAATATCACGAAGAACACCCCAAAGAGACTTTGAGAGCAAAACACAAATATCAAAGAGTTCTTTACAATTACGCGGAGAGCAAGAAAGAGAGAATTTTCAGAGAGAGAGAGAGAGAATGGGAGATTGCAGGCCGTTGGGTTTCTTGGTAGGACTGCCATTTGCGTTGGTGGCAGTGGTTTTAGCTGTCGTGGGTGCAATTATCTGGGTTCTTGGGTAAGTTTTCTTCTCCTTTGTTTTTGTTTTTTCGTTTTTTTGGCTGAGAAATTTTTCTCCCTCTTATTTGTTTCGAATTTACATTATCCTTTTTCGATCTTTTTTGTTATGTTTGTCTTTTTATTTTTTTTATTTTTTTATTTTTTTTAAAGCAGTTTCTTTCTCTCCTTTGATTGAATGGTCAAGATCCAGATTTGTTCAACACCTTCTTTAGTTTAGGAAAGAGGAAAAAAAAAGGAGAGAGAGAGAGAAAGGGAGAGAATTTAAGAGATAGAGGAGATGTTTTTCTTTCTTTGTTGTTATTTTTTTAGAAAAAAAAGAATTTCTTTGTTTGGTTGGTATATGATAGGAAAGTAATAAACTAATTGTTTTTTTTTCTTTTTGTATTCTAAGAAAATTTAGAGAGAAAAAGTAAAATTATTCATAAAATCATCTTTCTTTTGTAGATTACTTACTTTGTTAATATTTTCGTGATAAATGAAGATAATTTTTTAATTTAGTAATTTGTTACCATCAAAATCTAGAGGGGGTAAATTTTCTCACTTTTCTCTTTTTGTTCTTTTTTTTTTCCTTGGAAATACTATCTTCTCCTTAAGAAAAAAAAAAGGCTAATTTGGTAATATATAATCAAGTAACGATGATTTTTTTTTTTGTTTAAATGGGCAGGACCGTATTGAGTTGCTTGTGCCCATGTTGCATTTGTTGCGCGGCATTGGCGAATTTTGCGATGTCGTTGATAAAGCTCCCATTCAAAGTCATTTCTTGGTTCACTGATCAGATCCCTTGTTGATATTTCTCATCCAATACCTCTCTTGGTTTTCTAATCTTTAATTCTTTTTCTTTTTTTTTAAGATTCTTAACACATGTATTTTGTCAATCTTTGGTTCGGCACTCTTTCTTTGCAGTTGAAGGAAAACTAAATTTGTATTAATTGTTGGCTTTATCCACACTAGCATTGAATTAATACATGATGAGGATTTCCTAGAGTTTTTCTTTCCTTGCTCGGAAATATTATAGGTTAATTATCAATGTTTCTGTTGTGTAATCTAGATTCATTATTTAATGAGATGGTTTTACCAATCTAACCAATTAAAAGTATTCAACAAAAAGATCTCCTTTTGATCCGCATTTTGACATTTTCTAACCTTAATTCAGGAGAACCCATGTTACTCACACATTAAATTAATATATACGTTCCTAATACAGATATTAATCGATTCTTAAAAACCATACTATGGTCAAAGTGTTTGGTATAAAGTATAAACTAAAGTTTGTGGCTTAAATATTGGCCCGCACCTATAGACTTGCCTCAAGAAAATAAGCGTGCCATCTGGTCATCAAGGGCTAATATAAATATTGAATCCATAATTTTAAAAAAGTCTCAAGACTTTTTCGTGAAATTAAAACACGAGACTTTTCATTTATCAAACTTCTTTAGAAGTTGCGCAATGGCTTTAGGCTGGTTCCACCTTCATAGGAATTTATTTAGAATTTATTTATTTATTTATTTATATACCATCTTGATGGTTACAGAACATATATTATTGCACTTTCTAGAATAATACATAAAATATAGGGTGCATTTAGAACTGTTTTTTGATTGTTTTTTAAAATGTTTTCACACATCTTTTGAGGCACGAAAATAAAAATGGTTTGCAAATCGCATTTATTTAACAAATGTTTTGAAAATGAAAACAAAACAAAAAACAATGAAAATAGTTTTTGTGAAGGAAGTTAGAAAATGATTAAAAGTTGTTTTTCCTTTTTCATTTTCATTTTCCAATACTTACCAACAATGTTACATTAAATTATTTAATTATTAATTACTAATTATACAATATATTAATTAATAATTAATAAATAGATATGACTATAACTAATAAATAGATAGTAATTACTTAATTATTAATTGATATTAAATTATTATTATTAAATTTGTAATTTTATTAATAAAATTGATCAATATTAAATATTAATTAATTAATTAATTAAATATTAATTATAATCTAGTAATTAGTAAATAGTTGATAAATAAAAAAAATAATAATTACTCAATTAATAATCAATATTAAATTATATAATAAATTGTAATATACTAATTAATAGTAATTAACAATTGATAATTAGCAATTCATCATTATTTAAAGAATAATTAACAAAAATTGATCATGTAATATATCAAATAATAGATTATTAAATAAATGTTAGTAACTAATTAACTAATTATTTAATTATGTAACTAAAAGTTAATTACTTAAATAAAAAATAGAATATTAATATATTATTTATATATTAATTATTTTTTATTAATACACTTATTAATTACATTTAAACTAATAAATATGAGCACGTTACTAAGATAGTAATTACTTATAACTGATTATTAATTACATTTTTTAATTATTTAGCATACTAATTCATTATATATAGTTTAATTACCAATGTAATCATTAATTATAATACATTCATTATTATTGTATTATTAATATATTAATTTTTATTTTCTGATTGATTATCAATTATTAATTACTTAATATATTAATTTAACATTATTAATTACATGTACTCGAAACAAAATTTCATAAATATAACCAAACACGATTTTACTTTTTTACTATACTCAAAACAATCTCTTAAAATACTAACTAAACACAATTTCAAAATTAGTGTCAGAATAATTTTCAAAATAATCTCATTTTTATTTTTATACTAAAAATAAAATTATTTTAAAAATATTATCAAACGGCCCATAATATCTCATCGTATATATATAATATATACTTCAAGTTCGGAAGAGAATATATAGCCTTCCCATTCTCAATACAATCCAACTGGCAGTGCCAACAATATATGAGAAGAAACTGCGAGCCAAAACTTTTTTTTTTTTTTTTTTTACCAAAAGGAAAATAAAAAACATATATTAAAGCACGTTGTTAGCATAATGTATAAAATTGTGAGAAAAGTTGAACTTGTATTTCGTTGGACAAATGCATGTGTTTTTAAGAATTAGTAAGACAAGACGCAATTTACATATGCCTAGAATAAATGTCAATTCAATTAGAAAACTTTTCCACTACCAAACATCTGCATTATTTAAAAATTTGCCAAAAAAAAAAAACGACACCTTATTTTACAAACCCTCATGTTCAATTATGAACCGCTTTACAAACATAAAAAATTTATCGGACGCCGAAGAGAGGATGCCGAATGAAGATTAACAAATGCAAAAATGAAGAGCACCACTTGAGTCCATTTTATTCAGAAAAAAAAGGGACCATTCAGATCGAATAAAACCCTTTCAGAATGTGATTAATCGGAGAACCTCACAACTGGATTGTTCTTTTGAGTGAAAAAAATTCAAAAAAATGCAACTCAAGTTACAACTTTATTTGAGTTCATGAGGGACCATTCAGATCGAATAAAACCCTTTCAGAATGTGATTAATGGGAGAACCTCACAACTAAGGACTTGTTCTTTTGAGTGAAAAAATTCAAAAAAATGCAACTCAAGTTACAACTTTATTTGAGTTCATGTTCTTTTAAGTTTAAATTCGAGTTTAAACTCGAGTTCAAACTTGAGTTTAGGACTAAAATTTGAGTTCAAATTTTCCTTTCAACTCGAGTTCAGAAACTCGAACTCAAATTAATGAACAGTATTTTTTCTATTCTTAAAAATGCTAATTGAGATGATTTTTTTCCTATGCATTGACAATGAAAAAATAAATAAAACCCGACCCCTATACCTTATTAAAATTTTTCATCAGCATTGAGTTTTTTATTAAAATACTATCTAAATACAAATTCAAGTTTAGACTCACTCAAACACAAACTCAAAAATATTCTTATCTCAAATCATAACTCAAATGTATACAACCAAACACAAACTCAAGTTACAAGTTCAACTCAAGTTATAACTCAAATTCAACTCAAGAATTATACTCAAGTTAAACTCTAAAAGAACAGGCCAGAAGACTTGATCAATACTCAGATCTCAAACTAGCTCTAACAGTAAACGACATAACGTTTTGCCAAAACACTAAACAAATGCTTATTACAAGGAAACGACAGGAAACACAAATAGAAAGAGAAACGACAAGTCACTCTTTCTTCCATTAGTACATAACATCCCCAAGCCCAAACTAGTAAGAAAACAAAAATGCTTAAAAAAAAAAAAGACTGTTAGGCTATTTCTGGAACATTCTTCGGTATTCTAAAATGATCACAATCCACCACAATAAAATACCCACCACCATACACACATATATAAACAACATTAATTTATCATCATTTATCACCAACTTCAATCAAAAGCTCAAGAGAGTCTCAAGCCAGTCGGTGGAAAAGCTTTGAGCTTAGCTTTTGTTTCCCTTAGCAACACACAGAAAAGAAGAAGAAGAATATAATCCACCAAAGAAAAGTGAAGAAGAGAAAAAGAGAAGAATCTCAGACAGAAAATATGGGAGTGGATTACTACAAGATACTGCAAGTCGATCGAAACGCCAAAGACGACGACTTGAAGAAAGCTTACAGAAAACTGGCCATGAAATGGCACCCTGATAAGAACCCAAATAACAAGAAGGAAGCCGAAGCCAAATTCAAGCAAATTTCTGAAGCTTATGAGGTATGTATATATGTAATATATGTATATGTGTATTTGCATATGGAATATGAGAATTCATAGCTAAATCTTTTTCTGGGTTTTTGTTATTTGCAGGTTTTGAGTGATCCCCAGAAAAGAGCAGTATATGATCAATACGGCGAAGAGGGGCTAAAGGGTCAAGTGCCGCAGCCAGACGCCGGAGGACCCGGCGGCGGAGCGACGTTCTTCTCGACCGGAGAAGGGCCGACGTCGTTCCGGTTCAACCCCAGAAGCGCCGACGACGTCTTCTCCGAGTTTTTCGGGTTTTCGAGCCCCTTCGGAGGAGGAGGCACGAGGGGTTCTTCGAGATTCTCAAGTGGGATTTTCGGAGACAACATTTTCGGATCCTTTGCGGAAGCGGCTGCCGGCGGCGGCGGCGGCGGTTCCATAAATTATGGAGCTCCGAGGAAGGCTCCTCCGATTGAGATAAAGTTGCCATGTAGTCTTGAGGAGCTCCACAAGGGGACTACCAAGAAGATGAAGATCTCTAGGCAAATTGCTGATATTAGCGGGTGAGTTTCTTTTGTTGTTGGCTATTACTTTTGAAGCTTGATTTGATTGGTATGGTTACTGGTTAGCCGGTTACAATGTTTCTTTTAAAGATTTTGTTGATGCTTGATTGATTGAATTGAGTATGTGAGTTTACCAGAAGGTTGCTATATAGCGATTTGCCTGTTATGGAAAGTGGAGATTATGCAAAGAGGAAAAAGCAGCTACCTTGTTTACTAAATCAAGGATAATTTGTGGTCGTTTATGGTTATGTTATTTCTGTGATTTATTATTCATGCACATTTAGAGAATAGATTTTGGATTATGGGCTTGCTTTGTGAGCACCTATTTGATTTATCATCTGAATTAACTAAGCTGGTTTTGTTAATGATCTTTTAATCTGCTAATCAATTTAGAAAATTGTTTGAATGAATTACACCTACTTCTACTACCTTCACATGCAACAATTTGTTTATGGGCATCATTTGAATTGAAGATTGCAAGTTTACACTCTGTTTTTGAATATCAGCTGTTTTTCACCAGGATTTCTTCTCCCGAGTACATTAATTTAATTAATGTTGCAGAAATCAAAACCAAGTGATTGCATAGTATCAAAGTCATATTCATTATCCTGTCATTTTGATTTTGTTTTCCCGACTTGTTTGTTCCTTATGGATGCAGGAAGACGATGCAAGTGGAAGAAATATTAACCATTGACATAAAGCCTGGCTGGAAGAAGGGTACAAAGATCACCTTCCCAGAGAAAGGAAACGAACAACCGAATGTCATCCCTGCGGATCTGGTCTTTATCATCGATGAGAAGCCCCACGGCGTGTTCACTCGTGATGGAAACGACTTGGTTGTGACACAGAAGATATCTCTAGCCGAGGCCCTGACCGGTTACACTGTTCACCTGACAACCTTGGATGGTAGGAACTTGACTATCCCAATCAACAGTGTAATTCATCCAAACTATGAGGAGGTTGTGCCGAGGGAAGGAATGCCAATCCCCAAAGATCCAACAAATAAGGGCAGCCTGAGAATCAAGTTCAATATCAAGTTCCCTGTAAGGCTGACGGCAGAGCAGAAGGCTGGAATCAAGAAACTATTGGGTTCTTGAGATTCATGGCATAGGCCATTGTGTAGTACACTTGGGAAAAGGGAAGAGATTTTTTGTGAATGCATAGATTGCTTCTATTTCGCAAACTCGAATTTCTTGTTTATTGTCTTGTTTTGATATTTTAGGTCTCATACCATAGATGTTGTAGTTAATTCAGGGTCGTGTGAAATGCAAGTGGTTTCAAGTACTAGATGTGGTGCTTTTTTGTAAACTCTAGTAAAGTTGTCAGCCTTTTAAGTTAAGGCTGCAGAGAAAATAGTCATGTTCATACTTCATACTAATTTTGGCATAATGCTTGTTAGCGGTAAGAAATGTATGTGGCTGAAGAAGCCAAACTAGATTTCATTGCCTTTTCATTTCAATTTCCAGCACAAAATATGAGCTCTGCTTTGTAAATACAATTCTGTTTCTGTTTGTAAATACACTTATCTACTATTAGAGGTTATCCCGCACTACTGAGACGATAACAGAAGAAAAATTGCAAAATGGTTCAGAGGACACCCCCACCAGTACTTCAAAATGTACCTTGTTTCTGCAATTGTCGTCTATAACTTGATTCTACTGACTATAATCTGAAGATGGTGATCCGGAATCTTGACCCAGTTCCATGTTTTGCCCAACCTCCCCTACCCTGTTTTCCTCGTCTTCTGAATCCCCATCTATGTATCTATCGACATCAAAATCCTCTTGTTCGTCTTCTCCAATATCGTACCCCTCCCCGGCATCGTAGCCTTCTCTGGCATCGTACCCCTCAACATCATCATCACCATCGATCTCCTCAACTCCATCCACATTATAATCACTTCCCTCCAGATCACCGGACTTGCTATTGAAGCCACTGGCATAGTCATCCACTGCTGTATCCTCGTATTCATCTCCTGATCCTTCACCATTTTCACCATCGTACTCTGATCTTCCAGAACTGCTAGCTGGCTCTGCTCCTTCCAACTGGAAACCAGTTGTATCTTCTGCATTCCATTTTTGGACTAAACTTGGGGCCTTCTTGGAAACCTTCTCCTCCGGGTTATTTTTCACAACATCAGTCTTGACCATCCTCTTTGCTGGTTTTGCCCTGCTTCTAATGCTACGACGACCGCGTTTACGGCCTCGTCCACGTTGCCGCCCTTTCCATCCAAGTCCTTGACCTAATATCCCATTGCTTTTCTTTGCAGTATCACCTCTAGAAGTAGAACCAATGGCCCTTCTCTGTGATCGGTTGCCACGAGTACGACCACGGCCTCTTCCACGAATTCCTTTTCCAATGTCAGGGTCAGCAAGTCCAAGTCCAAGATCAGGCCAGTAATCTTCTTTAAGATGGTAACCTTGGCCTGGAGTTCGCATTGTCTCATCAAGGGGACTCTTCCCAACAGCATATCTTGAGGAAAGCTTCCGAGGAAAAAAGAAAAGAGGATCAGCATCATATTCAGTATCAGTAAATATAACACGTAAACGCATAATCCTAAATGTATATCTTTTCAACGAGCATGCGTAATTTATTGGTAAGAGAAAGCCAATTAAAATTCACTTCCTTCGAGCAATTGAAAATTCTCCTTTCCCGTGTATAATTTATTTTTTGAAGCATGTTTTCCTATACTTTTAGTTGTCTATAGTCAGACTCCGCAAAAGATTTTACTCACTATAACATCAGATCCTTTGTCCTTCTGAGACTCCACTTTCTGCCGCGGGACGTAAAAGATGGCTGCATCGAACTCCATGACTCGTAAAGCCACAGCAGCGCTTGTCCGTGGTACCCATGGAAGAACGGCAACTGTTTCAAGAGAATGAGAACTTGTAACAGCATATCTTCCTGGATTCAAGGACTCCAGAAGTTCACTGGTAGTCTCAAAATCCGAGAACAAAAACTCCCTCTTAATGGCACCTTCTAACAACGTGAGAACCTGAAACCACAGAATTCGACTTAAAGGAAACCTGGGAGCAGAACCAAAGAAAGATGGAAAAAAAAAACATCGTAGCGTGTAATTCCCAGTTGCTGTTTTCGTTCACCATAAACAAAAAATGAAGGAAAAAGACTAGCAAACAGAAAACCTCAGAATTGGGAGTGAATGAACAAAATAAGGAAAAAAAAAAAAATTTGCAACAATTCCACTTCAGCACTCAACATGCTTATGAGGAACAAGCATTGTAGGATGAATGACGAACAAAAAACTAAAGAGGCACCTTGAACGTGTAGGCAAGTAAGATGATTTACTAAAAAACGTTTATCGCAACTTCCTAATTTGCTTCTTTTAGCCTATAGAAGAAATCAATTCCAAAGCCAAAATGCATATTTTATGTGCACGTATGACTAGACCTCTTTGCACAGCAGTCTATGTAAAACTCATGGAACGTTTTATTTTTTAAAATATGTTGCTCTCTTCCATTTTTCTTTGCTCTCTTCCATTTTTCTTTTCATTTCATTTTTTATTTTTTCCAAAACTAAACATGTAGTTACTCCATATTCTAGAAATATACCCAGATTGGTACAAAATTAAATGAACTAAATTAATTTTCAAATTTCTCAAAAAAAAAAAAAATCAATTTTGAAACTCAGCAGCAGGGGGAATCATATATTTCTTATTTTTCTACAGCCTATGGGGAAGTTGAAGTTCACATCCATCTGCTATCAATCGGTAGAAACATAGTGAATAACCAACCACTCTCGCTATGTAAAAAATACAATAAATTGTTGGTATTTAACAAGCAAAGCCAATTCTCACTTGGAGAAGGTCTTCCGCTGATGATGATGTGTTTACCCTTACACCCCATGATTCTCGACAGCTGCGAGTCCAAAGTGATTGAAGAGCTTCTGAAGGTACAGAAACCTGAGAGACCACATAATTCAGAGAGTAAGCTGCAGCGATGACTTTTAAGAATATAGTAGCACGAAACTTTGCACAAGAAGTTTAGGGAGTCACCTCAATTAAAGCTAATAGGAGTTTCAGTAACCTGATTGTCGGGGGTAAAGTAGGTGAAGCATGCAAAGAACAATTTTGGCCCACCTTACGTTCCTCTATACATTGAGCTACATGTTCAGAAAATCTTATGCCTCTCTCCAAGGTACCATAGGTCATATGGCAGGAAGGACAATGATCCTCTTCTGAAGAATAAATACTGTGGCAATCATCACATATTTCCAGCAGTTGCTTGCACCTTTTCTTTCCCTGCTTGATTGCACATAACATGGAAGAACTATAGCATTCTTTCCAAATCCACCTCTCTAGATCTTGATATCTCTTTAATGCACCATTTGACTCATTTTTGTTCCTCCCAAGTTCAATTTCAAAAGAAGTAGAGGACTCTGACACATCAGAATTAGCACTACAGAGGGTACTGCTAGGGCTATCAGGACGGATACTGAAATTAGGGTGAGGAGTCGTTTCAAAAGCTTCTAATTTGGCATCTTCACTTTGTTTTCTTACGTTAGCATGTAGCATCTTCTTCCTAACAGCTTTCTTAAAAGAAATCTCAACCTTCTGCAACATCATTTGCAAATGGGATTCCCTAACCCCACGTATGTCCAAAGATGCAAGAAGCACATCAAAACCCTGCACAGAGGCTGTAAGAGATGAAGGCTAACAAATGCAAAATAAAACTCGAACATAAATCGAGACATGAAAGCATTTAAAACTCAGTCATGCCAGTTTTCCAAAATAACATGGCACTTATAACAGGAAAAGCGGACGTAAAAAAATCAAACTTAAATTAGCAGGCATTCTTGACTATTGATTACAATGGCAAGTATAGTCTAACAAGCAAGACTAAAGCATAGATATGATCTAGAAGTCTGGAAAAACACAAGCAAACACAATAAAGAGACATATCAACTAAGTAATAACTGCACAGTTTCATAAACCATGAAAGGCTAATGTTAGGAGAAAATTACCTCTTCAGAATCAATAAGCCTCCAACGACCATCGTACAACTCAACAAAGATCCGGCCACAGCCAGGATCATTTTGAGAAGCAGATGTAATAAACTGCCAGTATCGATTACGCCTACGGTCCTGACCTAGTGGCAGTGATCTATACACATACATTTCTTCTGCCTTGTGTCCAATATAAGATTTTAACTGGGATCGAGTCCTTTCAACAGCATAGCCTGGTTGCTGAGACACGTGATTTTCAGCAGCAGAGACCTCTTGCATTTGCAGGTTTCCTTCAGAAGGAAAACTACTGACATGAAGACTGTCATCTGGTGGATCACTTATCCTCTCCTCCTGGACACCAAGATTCTCTGTAGTCTTGTTATTTTTGTCATCAACAGTAACAAAAGGACTTTGTCTGCTCCCTGCTGATGTATATGCAAGATTAGGCTCCAACTTGTTAACCATAATTGATGAACAATGCATTCTCATTACGTATTCTTCTTTCATGCGACGTTTATCAAGTTGCACCCCTGCCCACATTTGCTTCTTTAAAGCATTTGCTGCTTCCAAACGTTCCTGAAACAAGCTCGTATTTTAAATCAGCCAAATGAATTGAATGAGGGAAACTCCCCAAAAAAAAAAGGGAGAGAGAGAGAAGAGAGAGAAGGCACACCTCAAGAACTAGACGAATTGAGTTGCCTTCAACTGCCACACCGATTATTGCAACAAGTGCTTTAAGGCGCTCCTCGACACTAAGATCAGAGTAATCTCCTTCTATAAGCCCTTGAACCCATGGTTCACCAGGGTTGCTTTCATCAATATCTGCATCTTCATGGTCAACAATAGATGCGTCATTGCAGCTTCCAATAATATCAACAGATTGACCAAAGGAAGAATAGGGTTCTTTTGTCTTCACACAGCTTTCACCAATATTTTGGAGAACTTTTTCTGGCATTTCAATAACTTCGACACTGCCCTTTCCATTTTCCAAAAGTGATATTACATCCAATTTGTTCACTTCTTGAGAACCTTGAACACTCCTTTCTGGGTTTATTTCGGTACCTAGATCATCAATTTCCGGATCCTCAGCAACATCACTTTCGGAGTCTTCATCTCTTTCGCCATCATCGGCATCTTCTCCATCCAAGAACCCACTTTTAAAGGTCCCAATCCTTTCCCTGGCTGCAGAAAGTATTGCCTCAGCATCAGATGGGTCCTTCCTATATGCAGCACGCACGCAATAAGTTGAAGGAGCTGTTCTCTCAAAAAGTTTTGTATCCCTCGATAAAGCAGCAGCTATAGAGGCTTCTGGTGTCTTGCTAGTTGTAAGATCCCGAAGTCCGGATTTCTTAAATAATAAAAAAAATAATCACATGAATAGAGTTAACCACATTTTGAACGATAAGTAAAAACAAAACCAACAAAACCAACCTTAAGTTACCTGAATTCTGTCTGCAACTTCTAATATAGTAAGACCCCTTTCCCCCTCAAGAGAAAGAACGTGAAATGCCGCAAACTTAACAGTTCCAGGTGTCAATCGATGTCTAGATCTACGGGGATTAGAAAAACCCCTTTCTTGCATTTTAGCAAAAGCATTCTCTACAGCTGCTCCACTGCGTAGATTAGAAACTATATCCTCGCCATCATTGCCCTGCAATGACACCCCCAATAAAATGTGAAGCAGTTTATATCAATAACGTGATAAGACAGCACACACAATCCACTTTAATTGATGTATGCTAGCTTCTTAGAATAAGATTGGAAGATTGTAATGTCCGAAAAAATTCCTCTAGGAGTTGGGATGTATCAATGATGAACCAGTCCCGAGCTACATAACTGCAGTATGTTGTCCAATAGAATAAAGGCAGAGTAGACTTGTCCAAAAAGTAAGCATGTAAATGTTATTCTTCTAGTAAGTACGAAAATTACATTGAAAAACAGAAAGGAGAAGTAGAACAGCTGACTTTGCATTAGTCATACACAAAGTTTTCCATTTTTTTTTCATATAAACACTGGGACTGTTTTTCAATAACCATAAAATAAAATGAGTAATAGAGTTGTAACTGACAGATGACATTTAATTTGAAAATGCCAGCTTCTGTATTAAAAGAAGAGTAACCTCATTGTCATCACGAACATATGATGGTTCAATATTCCTTTTCTTCAGCTGTGGCCCAAATCCAGCAGATAGAGCAAACTGCCGCAATATTTCAGGCCATGTCAATGGATTTAAATGGCGTTGCCAGCTTCGAATGTCAAAACCCCAAGAATATGCCTGGTCAGTGTGTGATAAAAAAAAAAATAATAAATAAATAAATAAAAAAACAAGAAGAAAATCAGATCATCAAACAAAAACCTAAGGTGGAGTTTCAGCAGTAACAAGAGCCATAGCTCACCCCTTCTACGATCAGTGGATGACCACCTCCGGGATTAGCAGCACTAGTTTGATTTGCTCCTAACCCTGTTGATGGTGTTCTTGCTACATCCTCAATATCTTTAATGATGGATCTCAGGAGAGAAATATGTATCTCACCCAACAACCTCGTATCCTGAAATGTCAACAGAGTCTTCACTCAGGCACAATGCCCCCACCCAAAAAAAAAAAAAAAAAAACCCCCCCAAAAAAAAAAAAAAAAAAAACCCCCACTAAATAAAGAAAACATAAATGGTGATAAACTTACATAATCATGAAAAGCTTGAATGAATTCATCCAGAGTAAATGGCCAAAGTCCAAGAACATCTGCAAACGTAATCAAGAACCTCCACACCTAGAAGTATAAGTCATAATTGAACACCTTAGGGTAATTACCAAAGATGAAACTTGCATGTGGTTGCCATAGCGGTAATTCCACACTTGACTCTACCATAAGGTGAAAAGTTCGAATCCCCCAACCAAAAAGTTCAGCAAAAAAAAAGATGTACCTTGCATTTTACTAAAAAAAAATCGCGACACCCCACTAATTGACAAGCAAATGACAACCCAAGAGGCTAAAGGATAATATCATCCTAAATTGACCACGATTGTAACAGACCTAACAGAATTCTGAAAAAAAAAATATATATACATAGGTAATATGATTAAAAAAAACTATGAATCATTAACACGAAATGCACAAAATATAACGAAAAGGAAAAACCAGATAAATTAAAATTATAGGCTCACTTTTAAAAGAGGATTAATTTCATAAATGCCCCATGAACTGTATACCCTAGTTCAACATGCCCCCCGAACTTTGAACGGTTTATCTATCATTGGTGAAATGAACTCTTTTCAAAGTTCAAAGGGCACATTAAACTAAAGTACATACTTCAGGGGTTTTTATAAAGTTAACCCTTTCGAAAATGATACATTACAAGGACACTTTTATGAATCAAGTCCTCCAAAACAGTACGAGGACCCTTTCAACTCATCAAAATACCAGATCAAAGAGACTGTAATCAACTTATAAACTCACCATGAGAAGACTTCCAATGTTATCCTCGGAATATATCCACGGTTGAATTGCAAAAGGCTTTTTCAAATGCACAGACTTTGGTGGGAATGCCGTTTGCATTTCTGAATAAAAAATATTCCATCCGCAAAAGCAAAAAATTAAAATTGTTTAGGTCAAGAGAAAAGGGGAAAAGAAGAGTCACAAGTAAATAGTATTATGAACAGGAAAGCCTGCATATACTGTTGCCACCAGTTTCCTGCTTAACCAGCTGACGAGTTCTGGCCACTACCCATGAAAAGCTTCTTCCCCCTCCCCGTTTGCTCTCTTCTTTATTTTTCTTTTCTTTTTCAGATGTATAACACTACACAAACAGATAACATTTTGTATCCCCCTCCAAACCAAACAGTTTCCAATTAGATGTGTGAATTTTTTTATCACAATAAGGGAAACAACAGACACCCACAAATGATAAAGCCCAAAGTTGTTTAAGACTTTGAAAACATCAAAAAGTTGAACATAAAATACAGCATGGCCAACTGATCGATGTTTACCTCTATATAATTCAAGATTCTGCAAAATTTCATAATCAAGGGAAAGTATTGAAGGCAGTCCCTTGCTTGATGCAGCCAACTCCATAAGTTCCAAGCGCTCATCTTCAATTAGTTCCATTGATTCTTTAGCAATTCTGCGAGCAATCGCTCTCTCATGGGCAGCTCTAAGCCTTGCAGCCTCCTTTTCTCTGCGCAATTCTTCTTTTTGCTTCATTTTCTCTACCTGGGTGCATAGAAACAGAATACACTAACTCTTACAAATTCCTTTCTTATTTTGGAAAAAGAAGCATGTAAGAGATATCTGCAAATGTACTCTAATAGACTCCTTTTGCAAGAATTTCTCTCTCCGCTCCAGTTCACGCCTTTGCTCCCTTTGGTACCTCTCCTCCTCTCGCTGCTTTTCACGCAATAGCCTTTCTTCTTCTTTCCGCCTCTCACGGTCATGCCTCTCCATTTCTTTCCTTATTTGCTCCTCTCTCTTATTAAATAAAAGATATAATGAGTTTATGTATGACAAGTTTAAGGCACTAGAGAAATATGGTTACTAAGATCAAACCTTTCGCCTCAAAATATCTTGTTTTTCAAGTTCTTTTCTAATCCTTTTTTCATGAGCCTCAACTTCTCTGGCAAGTCTTGCCTCTTCACTCTGCATGGAGTAACAAAGTTGAGTGAAATCATGATGCAAAGTTGGGAGATACGAAAAAATTTGAAGTGCAATTAAATACCTTGCGCTTCCTTTCTATTCGTGAATTGTCCTCCTCATTGATGACCCTCCTATCAGGTGCTATAAAGGGATTTTCCAGCTGATGAACCGGATGAGTACCAAGATAAGCATCTGTACAAGTATTTGTTAGCAAGTTCTTCCTTTGAACACTGTCATACTGTCAAGAAGCAGATGGCAAAAATTGATTCTCTCTGCCTTGCTGGGGCAACAGATTTAGACCAGTTATCTGACCTTGAAATCCATATCCAGCGGATAGATGCTCATTTCCATGCAAATACATATGCCCAGTTGATAACGACGAAGTCCTACCATTTGGGCCATCAGCAGGTGAGCCATAATGATATGATGGTGCACGTCTTTCATATGTCTCGGTCCTAACACTTGGCTGCTCTGGAATAAACTGGTATTCATGGAGAGCCCTTGTGGTACCCTAACAAGGAATAAGAATATCTGGCTCTTAGTTTTTTTTTTTTTTTTTTTTTTTTTTTTTTTTTTTTTTTTTTTTTGTTCTCTTATATCAGCTATTATACAATAATAAACAGATGTTCTAAACTTGGCAGGAAATGATATCAGCAAAGCAAAGGACTGAAATTGAAGATAAGGAACGTAGATAATATAGGAGCCAAAGAAGGGAAAGAAACATGTGTGTATCTCACTATCTCTAGATCAACCAAGGAAAATACTGGCTTGTTTTATTTCACATCCTGATTATTTTTTACAAGACAAGATGGGATATACAAGAAGTACAAAAGAAATGAGAGAATGATTGAAGCAGAAGACACAAGTATCTAAACATTTAAAGGTAATATGATGGCTGTTTTCATGGAACATCTTCATTACATCTTACAAGATAACAGGTACAAATAAAAACAGAAAAATGTGAAATTGATCATTGATACATCTTCACTTGTGCAAAAAAAATAAAAATTAGAGGAATAAATTTGTAGAATACAAAACTAATGTTGGCTGAACAGCTTAAGTTTCTGCGAGAAATAGTAAAGTAATATGATATCCGAGCACGAAGTCCTGAGGTCAAGCCCCTATAATTGTACTCCTCAAAATTGTTATCACCTCCACTGTGAGGTTTAGTTATTTAAAGTCTCCTATGTTGAGCTTGTCGAACTTTCTAGTTAGTAAAAGACTTCCGCAATCCCATGCATTCAAAGGCAAGTTTGGAATAGATCATCAGAAGTAGCAAAAGAACTCATTCTGAGCACCTAATGACGACAAATCAACTAAGCTTAAAACTAACACTGACCAAGAGAACAATACGGAGGAATCTATAATTTGTATATGCGTCTGTGTGTAAATGATAGCATACACTAGAACGATCAGAACTAATTGCATAAATTGTAGCAGACATTAAAAACCTCAACAATCTAACCTTCACTGATTTTGCATCAGAACGATCATATATTTTTGCATCAAAAGGACGTCCAGATTGCTTATGTTGCCCAACCATTGCTGCTCCTGGTGCAACGTTAAAAAGGTAATTAGCCCTCAACCACTGTAGTCCATATAGTAGGTTTAACACATACTACAAAAAATGCAACCAAGTCAAAGCGCATGATTACTCACGCATATATATAAAACCGAAGCAAAAATAAGCATGTTCAAAAGAAATATCAGCACTATCCATATACTAACAGTATTGCAAATTTGTGGAGAATAAACATACGGAATGTATACGTGCAAAATAATAATGGAGGCATGCTTCCTTTCCCGTCAATACTGCAATGTAAGTGACTAGTAGTGCAAGTATATCACTTGAGAGAGAGAGAGAGAGTATCAATGGTGCTTGGCTCCTGCATGCATACTTTAGGCAGTTGTTTGCATAACGATTCAACAACTATGAGCTTTGATTAAGCTATAACTACATATCTAAATACCCCAGAACACAACTAGCTTAGAATGGCTCCAGTAAGTACTAACCCACCGATTAAGAAAAGAATTTACAACCGTGTTATGGTGAATATAGGACAGGAGACTCTAAAATCCACAAACCAACTTTACCAATTGGCGCTCCAAAAGCATCCGGAGGCAACGGATCAAACTCCATCCCCAGAATTGGCCCGTCTTCCCTCAGTGGATCCCCCAGCTGCGCCTCCACAAAGGCAATAGCTCGAAGCTCGGGATTCGTCTGCTGCGGCTCATAGTACCTCTTCATTGCCGGCAGCATATCGCCTCCGGCTCTAGGACCAGCCCCCCGATGCCGCGGAGCTATGCGCTGAGGCTCCACGAAATGCCCGAACGTGCTCGGCCCCGGAACCGGCCCGGAACCATGCTCATTGCCCAAGTCCCCTGCCGCCAATTCCTCGCCGCTTCCACCAGCAAACCCAGCCGCACCCAGCGAGTCCTTCCGCGGCCGCTTCGCTGGCGTCGGCGTCGCCTTCCGGTCCTTCAACCTCCTGTGGCAAAACCACATCTGCAATTGCCGATCGGAAAGCCCCAATTTCACCGATAACTCCGCTCTCAACGACTCCGACGGGTAGGCCTCCTCTGTAACAGAATTCAAGCTCGCATTTACATCACATTTTAAATGGAATAAACTGAAATCATAACCTCAAAAAACACAAACACTCATAATTCAAAATAAATAAATAAATAAACTCAAAAACCTGCATAAGTTTTTTCAAGTATCTCCAATTGCGAAGCCGTCTTCATCTTGCGCTTATTCTTGTTCTCTCCCTCGGGAGGCTTCTTCTTCTCTCCCTCCGAACCAGCCTCCATTGCTAACCAAAAAAAAAAAAAAAGAAAAAACTTCACAGAACCAAAAATATCTTCACCTTTCCGTCTCTGAACGAGAATCAAAACTTACAAAGAAAGACAAAAACATCAAAAAAGAAACGCGAATTTCTCCTTCTCCTCCACAATTAGGGTTCGTCTTCGCACACCTTTGACGGGAAAAAGGGGGATAAATCCAATTCCAGAGTTTCTCTCTCTAAAAAGAAACGACTTTTTATTATCAACTCCACTTTCTCTCTCTCTCTCTCTCTACGAAGAAGAATCGAAAAGAATAAAAATTGAAGAAGAGTCCTTCGTTCGTTGTGCGTGATTGAGATGTGCGGTGAGATTTTGGGGAGAATAACAAACAATAATAATAAAAGTAGAATTAATAAAAACAGTTTTGATATAGAAGAAGAAAATTTAAGATAAAAGAGACCCAAAAGAGACGAAAAGGATTTGGAATTTGGATTTAAAGGAAAACAATAATAAAAATAATAAAAACAACACCAACAACAATAAAATCTACTTCTACTAGTCGTACAACAACGAGCAAATGAAGGAACAGTCTCTCTGTCGCCCATTTTCCTTTTTCTATTCCTTTTTTTTTTGTTTTTTTTTTTTGGATTTGTTGTTTGGATAATAAAATTAAGAAAGAGAGAGAGAGATAGGGGATGGTAATAATGGCTTAAAAAGATTTAAATAAAAGATTTTAAGAAGTTGGGGATGTTTGTATTGTTTTGTCAGATGCCCTTTTGAAATTTGGGATTGTGTGTGAGAGAGAGAAAGAGAGAGAAAGAGTGAGCTGATTGATGATTCACAAATGGGTTTTGTGACTTCAAGTGGTGAGTTTACTTCCCACGTTTTCTTTCTTTTTTTTATTTTCTCTTATTTTCCGTTATTTTTCTTTTTTCCTTTTCATTATTATTGTTTACTATTGAGTTATTTTAAATTGTTATTTTATTTTTGGGATTTTTAATCTGTTCCTGGGCTTTTAGGTTGCGTTTTTTTTGGAGTATCTATTCTCTGGCTATTTCTCTTCTGCTTTCCTTTCTCTTGATGTCCAAACCCAATTGTTCCTTTTTCGGACCATGTTTGTTCGGGACCTTTCAGAACCAATTTGGTCATTTCCAAACCCTACGAGCCTTTACGCGCGTGCATAACACATACCTCAGAAATTTTTTTTTTTTGTTTATATTTTGTTATAGCTTTGCTGAAATTGTGATCAAATCGTAGCTTCGCGGTCGGTCTAGTTCCACATCAGCACCATTAATAAGAAGACGTTTAGTTTATATATTTAGAATTATAATTCAGAATTATTTTTGTTTTATGTGTATTTTTTGTGAGAGAAAACACTATAGAAAACTATAAATCATGATTCAGAATCAATGACGAATATAGAAAACAAACGTCCTCTAAATGATTTAAAACCGGACAAAACTATTTTTTTAACGATTCATTTCAGTTTGTAATTTTTTTTAATATTTCGAACCGGATCAAACCGTTAAAGATATATATTTAAGAAAATAATAAAAAAAAGTTTTTATGTATATTTAGACCTTGAGTGATTGTAATATTATTAGTTATGGACTTTTATTTTTGATTGCTTATTTGTTACTTTTTAGTTTTGGATGACTGTAATAGTAGTAGTTATAGATTTTCTTTTACTTTTGATTGTATGTTATTGTTGTTACCTTTTGAATAACTCTAATATTATTGGTTAATAGTATGGACCTTTGTTTTGGACTACATATTATTGTTGTTTGTAACTTAAAAAAAAATACATGTACATAGGATTTTGTTAATAGGTGATATGTATTATATAACATATGATTTTGTTAATTTTAAGAAAAGAAACACATATACACATGTGTGCATACACTAACAGTCCAAACCGTGGTTTAATTAGACCTGTCCGTTTACTAACAATTTGGTCTGGTTCGATCTCATCTTATAAACTGTTTGATCCAGTCTAGATTTTTTAAAACGGTTAATAATGGTCCGGTTTGAAAACTTATGGTTTGAGATCGAATCAGACTATGAACAACCCTAAGCAGTAATATAAGCTAGCTCTTAAATCCTCAGCTTTTTTTTTCTTTTTTAATCTCATTTTAATCCGTAGTAATTATGACATTTTTATTTTTGAAACTGAGAAAAAATTACTATTTTTCAATTAAAAAGTTTAAAGAAATAATTAACATTTAGATTGAATAACGTGCATGGATGATGGATTGAACATGGATTATTTATTTTCAATAGCCAAAACTAACTTGTTGGGTATAAAATGACATAATTAGATGTGTCCTTGTAAATAAAAAAAGTATACTTGTAGTTAATCAGAAACGCCTCTTTCCTTTTATCTATCTCCCTTTCTACTTCTGGGGTTTCTTTCTTTTCTTTGTGCACCGCTCGCTTTTCGCTTTTAGGGTCGGAGTCTGGCGCCGCCTTTTGGTTGGTTGTCGGACCCCCGGCCCTAGAGACAGGGTTCTAGGTCTCATGGCAATGATTATTGGTAATGGTGGTGACTTCATGGATGTATGGGAAGGATAAAAGGTGTCATTTTTTGGTCAACCATGTTGTGCATGCCTGATCTCCGGTATATCTACAATACAAGGATCTCGCTCTTCTCATTATAGTGGTCATAGAGGGGGGGACTTGTACATGGATGAGCGCTCAAGTCGATGGTGGAATTGTATGGGTCATCATCGATCTATCCTCTATTCTCTTGGTGGCCATCTTATCGCCGAGGATTTTATCTGTGTGGTTGAGGAATTTTGTCTCGATTTTTAGTTTATATTTTAATGCAATAAAGGCGATGTTGATTTTGCCATTTCAGTTTTTATGTTTTCGTCATGTAATAATGAATGTTGATGTCCCACCTTTCTATAGTGGTAGTAAGTTTATCTTGTTAGGTTTGATCCTACGTGGTGTCGTGAGTAACCTTAGTGTTATGAGTTTTTAGTCTCGGTTGATTGGTTTTATCTATTGATTGTAGTGATTTTGTTAAACAAGTTTTTATCGCACTCGATTGTTAAAATATCGAGTGGATCTTTCCC